GGTGTGGTACCATCGGTTCACCTTCAAAGAGTAGAAGCATCATTATAAGTTCATTAGAGTTCATAAATTTACATTGTCAGTCACAAGGTGAGACACCTCCATGTGTTTATATGAACAGGTAACTATAGACTGTAAAGTTCATATTCATGATGCTTTTTCATTTCAGCTTGAAAACTGCAGGACTACAGGAACTCAAGAGCTGGAGCTGCTCTGTCTGTGGCCTCTCAGGAACGTGCACGTCACACACATACTCTCAGGAACGTGCACGTCACACACACTCTCAGGAACGTGCACGTCACACACGCACTCTCAGGAACTTGCACGTCACACACACAACCTTGGCCTCATGATGTGAGTATTACTATTTTAAACTTTTATTTTTTCATTTACTATTTATTTATCCAGGTAGTCTCATTGAGTCACGAGAACTCATTTTCAAGAGAGACCTGTTTAGGAGCAGATGGTGGACACTGGACCACAGCACAAGATAATAAGACAGTGATAACAACAACAACAACAATAAACATTCACAAATGATTCATACAATTTTTATTTTTTTTTATTGTTTGTTTTCATCCATCCATCCATTTTCTTTACCCGCTTCTTCCATTTTGGGTCAAGGGGGTCGCTGGTGCCCATGTCCAGCAATCACTGTGCGAGGGGCGGGGTACACCCTGGACAGGTCGCAAGTCCATCACAGGGACACATAAAGACAAACGAGACAAACAACCATTCACTCTCTCACTCACACCTAAGGACAATTTAGAGTTACTAATCAGTCTAACATGCATGTTTTTGGTCTGTGGGAGGAAACCGGAGTACCCGGAGAAAACCCACGCATGCACGGAGAGAACATACAAACTCCACCCAGAAAGGCCCCTGGACCGGGGTTTGAACCAAGGACCTGCTCGCTGAGAGGCAGCAGCTCTACCAGTTGCGTCACCGTGCTGCGTTTGTTTGTTTTACAATTGAAAAACAGTTTGTTATCCACGGCTGTCATCACTTTGTTGAAATCCAGGTCTCTCTTGTAAATGAGTCCTTGTGGCTCAGTGGGACTAACCTGTATCAATAAAGGTTGAATGAATATAAATATATACAGAATGATTAATTCAACCTTTTATTTAAACAGGTTGGCTTCATTGAGCCACAAGGACTCGTTTACAAGAGACCTGCTCCAGACAGAACATATAAAGTACAGACAAGAATAACAGTAAACAATGACAATAATAAACTACAGTAAAAATTATATATATATATATAT